TTTTTTTTTTTTTGTTAATACCATCATTGTTATTTTTTTTTGTTCTGCTAGTTCTGCAGTTTGAGCTCCCTCCTTCATGGGGGATTTCATGAATACATTTCAGGATCTTTAGCTCACTGGTGGCTGAAATGCCTTGAGCAATTTCACTTTGAGGGCGCCGCACAAAAACAAAGACATCTCAGTGGCATGAATATTCATGACCTGGAAACGTGGAAGCAGAGTTTAAAAGGCAAACTAAAAGGTGGGTAGAAGGAAAAGACGAGGAGTAAGATGCAAACGGCAACAGAGGTGCAGTGGCTCTCTTTCAAAGACAGGTTGAAGATGTAACATCTAAAGCCCTGCGGGGAGCTGGCTGTTGAAATAATGTTGAATAGCCGTCAGGCTGGCTCCTCCTCTGGAAGCCTTACCGGCCTCACCCGGCAGTTGTGTTCAGGGAGCGACTGCGTGATTGGAAACATAACAGTGCTGGGGGCTATGGAACCCTATGGGCCTCACCGGCGGCCTCCATCATTATGCCGACGGCGCTATCATTTCTGGACGCTGATTAAAATGTTGCCGATGTTGAAAGAAGCTGAAGGTTAAACCACAAAGGGTTCATATGCTGCTTTCTGCGCACGCGCATACATGTGTCTTCACAAACTCTTGACATCTGTAACATAGAGAGGAGTGATAGAGCTGCTCCTATCACCTTTATTTTGATCTGATCAGCCTGAGCAAGTTTATTCTCATTTATGGCCGCTATGTCTCAGAGTTAGATTAATATTAATCCTTTAGAGCCTAAGAGTGTCATAGTCAAGGTGACCTTTAGCAGAGAATCCTAAATGGCAACTATAATCTAAAAGTTGGTCCACTTCTTAGTTAATGTATTGAAAAAAAAAGGTCTAGATTATACATTCAGTACGGAAAAAACAACAACAAAACCTGAAAGGCATGAAAAATGTTTTGACATTCGTAGGTATATCACATCAAATCACGAAGTAATATCAAATGTCTGCAAATATGTAAGCTTCAATATTCTTATGTGGACGAGTAATAAATCTCAAAATGTCAGCAGACAAACGTGGACAGCTGAAATAAATGCTACAGCCTGCTTTCTGTATCTGTTTACCTTTGGTGAATCTGTGATTTTATTATTATGGATCGGGGAAAGGACTTTTGAGCTTTGCAGAGAGCGGGAGTAACATTAGAAGCGTTGCAGTCAGAGTCAGAGCCAATATATTTGCATCGTTCCGGCAGCATTGGTCAGCTTTAGCCTGGATTGCATTTCATCAAATCTGAGTCCTTTCCCTTTCCCTTCTTAATTCCTGCTGGGCTCAGTTTACTGAAGTTTAAATAACACTCAAGAAGCTGAGCTGTTCTTCACAAACTATACATACAGTAATATAAGTATTTGATCAGTGAGAACAGAATGTGTGGCTCATTAAACAATATTTTCAACAAAATCTGAAAATCACTGCATCCATATGTACTGTAAGTTAATGCTCTGTAAAACTAAATTCAATCACATCATTACCCATTTTACACAAGGACATTTCTGCTCATTCTGCTTTGCACAAATAATCAGATCAGATGGAAAACAACCTTAAACAGAAATGTTAAAGTTTCCCTTCCAATTGTATTTTTGGCTGGATTTGGTGAAGGCTATCCAAGCTTGTGAAATGGGATGCTTTGAAATAATTTGTTCCATTTTAACCCTTACATTTTATTTGAGTAATTGTCTTTTTAGCAGCTGAACATAAGGGCCAGTTCCAATATCTCTAGCAGGTTATCTGGATTTTGCTAAAAATTGTCTGTTCACCTATCATTGACAAGGAAAAGTAAGAACACCATATGATGATGCCACCACCTGTTCTAAAGTCGATTATATGTATGGAAGATGATTTCTATTGCTAATTTCTAACCACACATTGCTTTTTTGTCATGGCATAGGTTTAGTCTCATATTCTTTAGGATGGTGCTCTAATTATCTGTCAAATCGTAGACCATTCATGCAACTCAGTGACCTTAGACTATTGAAAGATGACAGAAGGCGTACCACAAGGTTTAATTTTAGATTATTAGACTATTTTCAGTTCATGTAGATGATGTTGGTGAAAAATTACACATTTTTATGCTGATGACGCTGTAGTTTGCTCCCATGGATTTTGGGAGGAAACTACAGTACTGCAGTTCTTATTTGACAATATTCAGTCTGTCTTGAACCAACGGAAACTATTCTTAAAGGCTGCTAGGACAAACGTCATGCTGTTTGATAACAAGAAAAAAGTTGAACAAATTTTTCCTACTCTTGTAACAAAGCTAAGTATGCTGATTATGTTGAGACAAACAAGTATCTTGGCGCAGAGATCAACCATAAACTGTTATTAAAGTTGCATATTAATCATTTAAAGAAGTTAAAGGTAAAACTAGGCTTCCTCCTTAGAAATATATATAATGTTTTTCTTTCATTGCAATGAAGCAACTTGTTTTAACTGATCTAGCTTATGGTAATGTTGTTTACTTTAAGGCACCTGTCACTAACATTCATAACAGGATGTAAATCTTTCACTCACCCCTGTCAATTATATTCTCAGGTGAGCTGGCCATCATAATCCATTCGTAGACTCCTGCATTTGTTCATTTTTATCTTTAAAACTATCCTTGGACTGCTTCCGCCCTACTTGCCCTCATACCCCTCCTTTAGTCTCGCCACAGGCTACGCTCGCAGGACTTGATCTCCTTCACTGTTCCATTAGTACCGTCTGAACTTGGAAAAACAAAAATTCTTCCTCTCAGCTCAATCAACATGGAATACTCTGCAACGGGATCTGAAGCTTTCCACCTCAATTCCCTTAGGACAATTTAAGTCTCTTTTAAGACAAAAAGAGAAATCTTCTTATGAAACTTGTTCATGCTTTTAGTTCATCTTATTATTTACTGAATCAAACCTTTTTGTTGCTGTGTTTATAGTTTTGTTTGTTCCTATCCAAACAGGTCTCTCTTGTAAATGAGATCTTGAATCTTAATGAAACAACCTGTATAAATAAAAGTAAAATTTAATCAGATCAGAGTATCTTCCTCTATGAATTTGCTGCTTCCCCTATTCTACAGAAATAGTGGCTAACTTCAAACAGGACTTTGTATTGTTTTCTTAATATAATGGTTTTCTTCTTGCTGTTCCTACCGAAAGCACAGACTCTTGAAATAAATGATTAATAGCTGTCCAATAATATATATTTTTTCTCACAAACTTTAGATTTCTTCAGCTGCTCCATCACATGTGATTTTTGGATTATAAAGTCAGACGTGCTCAGTGAGAGATTGAAAACTTGAATTTAATTGTTTTGTAACCTAACACCTAATTCTAATTAGGTGTCTAATTCAGCCAAAAAAAGCTTTATGACGCTCTGCTGTGTTCCTTGGTCTCCTGGATGCTGTTTATTCATCAATGTTCTCTAAAAGCCTTTATCACAGAGCATTTCAATCACACTGAGCATATGCTTTACACAGATCAGTTTTGAAGGCGGTCAATCAAACTGGGTTTTTTGTGGCAACATTTTCAGACCCCTCCCCAACCCCCATGCCTCAGAAACCAAAGACCAGATTTTAGGTTTCGTCAAAAGCCTAAGAACAAAGACCAAAGTCTGACTCACAATTTGAAATGAATTCCAAGATGGCTGACTTCCATTTTGTTTCAAAGAATTACATCAAGGGTGTAATACAGGTCGAATTAGGACTAAAAATTCTATGAGTTTCCAGTTTTCAGTTTTTTTGGGGGTTTTTTGGTAGTGACGCACGTTTTATTTTCTCAGTTCAATTACCTGCACTACTTTATACTGCTTTTTCAAGTAAGCTGATAGAAAATACATTGAGATTTGTAGTGGCTTTACAAAGTGTAAAAAAGGAATATGATATGATCACAAATATTGAGAGTTTTTAAGCTAAAAGTCATCTTACAATCCTTTTGGTCAATGAAGATCTATGTATTGTTCTAACTACATGAATGAAGACCATATATGGAGTGAAAAGACTACATGACATTAGAATTTTTTTTTTTGCTTCTGTTAAATTGAACCCATTTGAAATGTAATCCAGGTTCAGATAATAACAAAGGATTGTTATGCAAAATGAATCTATGCATAAGGACAGATTTAAAGTTTTTTGTTTCTATATAATTATAAGGCAGGTAGAAATGTGACATTCTGAACTCAATATTTTAAATCTCTGTGTTGCATTTTTCTCCTTTTTTCAAACACTCATTCATGTTCTCAACTAATTGGTGCCTTAATATTCTGTGTTTTCCTACGCACACTTCATAAAGCATGAGCCTGATAAATTAATGGAGCGGACAAAGATCCCCTTAGATTCATCTAGCCACGGCGACAGCTGAGTTTATTGTTAATCAGCAGAATGTGAGGATTTAGCTCACCTTAAGGGAGTCCCTCCTCCCATATTGGAAATATGCTTGTGAGATCTCATCTCATGTTAATTTGTCACAGAGGAGGTATTCTCACTGTTGCTCCCTGCAGCCCTCTGGCTAAGTCTAAGCTATTCATTGTCTCGTATGGCTGTAAGCCTTTTCCATGCCTTCGTTCTTTAAGAGCTTGTTTCATAATTTGCATTGTCTTGTTTTTCTCTGCCTCCACCTCACTCTGCCTTGGTTGTTTTTCTCCCACACCCTGTTCCATCTCCTTTTGACTGTGACAATTATGCATCCTCCTGTGGGACAATTAAAAAGGAGCTGGCTTCCCCAGTGAAAGGGAGAAGAAAAAGACAAGGATCGAGGAAATAATGATGTTAGATTTGTTTGTGCAGCCGCCCGTCTCCTTTGAACCAGCACCTCTTGAAGTAGCTGCTGTTTGTTTCAGTACCACCTCTTTGTCAAGGACGCTCTGCCTTTCAGCCCTACTGTCCGACAAAATAAATAAAACTGCTTTTCATTCAGAGATGCAACCCCCCCTTATTGATGTAGTTGTCCTCTTTCATCCCCATCCTGAATGCCTCCTCTTCCTCTTTGACAGGTGCAAGTGCAATCTTCACGCCAACAGCTGCGTCTTTGACAAAGAGAAGTTGAGCTGCGAGTGCGAGCACAACACCACCGGGCCGGACTGCGGTCGCTGTAAGAGGAACTACCAAGGGCGAGCATGGAGTGCTGGCTCCTACCTGCCCATTCCCAAGGGCACGGCTAATATCTGTGAGTACAGGCACACTCTCACATTAAATTAAATCCAAAAACATGTCAGCCTTTTCACATAAGAAGGGCACTGCAGTAAAACTAAACTTTCACAAATATACTTTCTTGCAACAAAATGTTGATGTAACAAAGCTGTGTCAATATCTGACTGCCAAGGTTAACACCCTAAATGTATTAAAGTAAATATGCTGTCTCTACTGTTAGCAAAACTAGATTAGCAGAGAATAATTTCCTTACTTTTCGTTTAAAAACTCCTTTTTTTAGAGCAGCCAAACCTTTAGGGAGTCATCATTTAAATAGACATTGTTACTCTCAACCTAAACATCCTGAAATTATATTTAAAATGCGCAAGACGGAAGTAAAGCACATGCACTGTATGCATTTGATTGAATTATGTTGAATTATGTCTAAAACCCATGATATGATTGCAAAAATTAGCTATAAAAATAAGGTAATACATATGTGGCTTTATGTTTGTACCATATCTAATTGGTTCTGGAAGCAAAGGCAGGAGAGAGCAAAAAAAGAGAGAAAAAAAAATTTTGGCAATAAAAGTTAATCCTTCACCAGGAATGTATCCAGTCTTCCCTTAGATATATAAAAAAAAAAACTTTAATAATGGTTATACAGTTTTTACTTCATTAAAATATGCTAAACGGTCATTAATGACTTTGTGTTTATGGTAATTCTAAAGGTTGGTTTATGTTTAACATATCTGTGAGGTCCTCACAGCACCATGTGACCAAATGACTTCATGTTAGCATCCACGCCTCTCTATGTTGGTGCAACCAGCCCAAATTATTCACATTAAAGGAAAATTCCGGTTTTTAACACTTTTAGCCC